CGTGAGCAGGAATCCAGACTAATTTAACAACAGAACCACCATTTCTAATCCTAAAAATTGAGTGAAAAATATCCAATATAATATCTTGCTTTGATTCTGAATTAAATTCTAGAATACTTATTAATGCACTACTTAAATCTGAACAAATTATCTTCTTCGCCTTCCTTTCTTCGTTGGCAAACAACAATTGATGCATTTCCGCCACCTACTGGTCTGGAGGGTTCATTCATACTGAAAGCTTTACTAATGGTTCCCTCCCTCCTTCACTCAAAGGATTATTACTCTTATTCCCAAACCAACGTTACTTATTGACAACTGGCGTCCAGTTAGTCTACTAAATAACGATTACAAAATCCTGAACACAATATTTGCTAAGAGATTAAAGTTAGTTCTGAATTACATTATTGAAGAAACGCAATCAGACTTTTTAAGAAACAGACACATCTCTAATAACATCAGGCTTCTGCTTGACATAGTAGATTACCCAGGTTTGATTAACAACGAAAGCTTAATCCTTTCCCTGGACTTTTACAAACCATTCAATTCAATTGAACACAGCTTTATTTTTGAAACATTAAACCTATTTGGTTTTGGTATTTTTTTTTCTGGAATACTACTAAAACATTATATAATAAAGGAAATAGTTCATTCAAATTGAAAAACGGAACATCCCCAAGATTCGACTTAAAGCGTTGTATAGGGCCAGGTTGTCCCATTTCCCCTCATTTATTTCTGTTATCCACTCAATTATTGGCTAGGCACATAATAAACAGTCAACTGGGTGGAATATCAGGTCTGGATAAAATAATTACTTTTAGCCAATTGGCTGATGATGAAGCAATTTTCTTTAAAAACTCTTCTGAAGTTTCTCTAGCAATTGAATTGATTATTTTCTGATGGTTCAGGTCTTTGCTTAAATGTGAAGAAATTTGGATTTATTCAGTTCAATTCAATTCAGTTTATTTATATAGCGCCAATTCACAACACAAGTCATCTCAAGGCACTTTACAGTTCAACGAATCTGGAATTTATGGCTGTTAGAAACATGAACTGTCCCATCTCTGCAATATCCCAATCAAAGAAAAAAAAAAAACAGAACACTAGATGTGACCTTAACTTTAGCCCAATTTTAGAAAGAGAAGAATATTTCTTCCTAAAGCTGAAAGGAATCTCCAGACTAACCTATGCTGCTGTTTCTCTGGCTGTCGACCAAAAGATGTGCAAAGAAACTGATTGAACACTAAGCAACTTTATTTGGAAAAACAAAAATAATTACATTAAAAAAATCAGTTTTAATGAATAGTTATGATCCAGGAGGTCTTATCTTTCTCCACTTTACGACAATTAAGTGAACTGGATTAAAATTGCCTTAGAAATCCTACCTTAATCTGGAATTATTCCTCACCACATGTTCTCTAAGATAGGTGGACTTAAGTTTGTTTTTCTGTGTAATTATAACATTGATCGCTTTCCTGTCGCTCTCTCTAATTTTCATAAACAAGCCCTTTTGGCCCGGTCACTAATTTTCAAACATAATTTTTCTCCTAATAGGTCTCTTTCTTTGGAATAATAAAGATATATGCTATAAGAAATGATCTGTTTTTTGAAAACTGATTTAGGAAGGATTTCACACTGATAAGTCAACTTTTCAATGAAAAAGGAAACTTCTTTATTTATCAAGAAATTCTTTGTCATTTTAAGATTCCTATAAGCCCAAAATAGTTTGCGATTGTTTTTGATGCTATTCCACCAGGTGTTATAATGTTATTTAAAGGTCAGACTTCTCTGTTCTCCTAAGGCCCAGGACCTCCACCTGATCCTACTGATACTTAAATAGGTAGACTCTGTTTTTAAACCAACTTCTTCTAAAAATAACATATTCACACTTTATTCCAATATAACTGCATCTTAGCTCCTTCTGTAATTTCAGTCTGGTCTGGTCTAAGAAATATGTGGGAACAAAACATGGTCTCTACCTAATAAATATTTTCTTGAAAGAGGTTTCCTTTTAGATTATTCACCACTGTTACCCAGTAAAGTCATTTTTGGTTCAATATAAAAAGGACATTAATTCCACTGCACCAACATTTACTTAGAGTCTGACTCCACCAGGCGTCTATGGCAAGGCATTTGTCATTTCATTCTGGACAATATTTACGACAAATTTGAACTTTATTTTAAGGATGTTTTATTTGGAATTAAAGAATATGGAAAAGAACTCTCTTACCATTTTTTTAATGTAATCTTTTGCTTCTGTGGGTCAAGTTTTATATCCATAAATGTAACATTTTTATGACTAAACCCTCATGTATGTCTTTCTTTCTTAAAGGAAGCAAGAATTTATTTATCTACATTATCATCTTCTAATAACAAAATGCTGTTAAAACTTTATATCTATGCTCTAAATTCTAAATATTCATGTAATCCCCTTATATTCTTCTATGTCTAGCTTTGCTCACTGTACTATTTATATGTTTATTTAGTTATTTATTATTACTATTTTTATTCAAAACCCTGGCGATTGTTCTTTGGAAATTGTACTAAAGAATCGTAATTCTCTAATAAAGCTGGTATGGAACATGGACCAGAATGACTCTCAGGAATTCAATTCTATTATACAAATGTTTTATCTTTTATATATCGAAATATTATCCTGTAAATGCTACTTTCTGAATAACTTCTAAATAATTCACATGAATCAAAATTAACTTTTACTGCCGCCTCTCCTCCTCAGTTATCACAGTAAAACATGTTCAATGGTTTCATCTATCCTGCAGGATTCATATTTAACATCCATGTTTCCTCAAGATAAACAGAGAACTGTTTAAGCCAATATTCCCACATCTCAATCTCTTCTAGGTCTTCCTGTTCTTATTTCTCAAGTTTTCTTCTGAATTTTATAAAACCATCACCCCCCCACCACCACCACCTTTTGCCAGATATCCTTCATTTTCTGTTAAATTAACAGTTTAATTAACATTTCAACCTCAGATTTACTGAGATTATTAATTAGATCCACTGATACATTTCTAACAGCTTGTTTTGCTGTTCTTCCTTTTTCTGCTTTTCTATTCTGGCGGATCACAAGCAGCTTTAAGGTGCATTCCGCCTGTAGATCCATTCTGTCTTCAGGCAAGCATTGCTCTGCCTTCCTGACTTTGGATCGTTTGTAAAACACTGAGACATTTGGCCCAGTCCCATTTTCTCTCACTTGCACTTGGTTTTGCACCTTCAGGTGTAAGGTTAGCGTGTCCGAATACTTCTAGGAGCTAGAGGGAAGTGCCCTCCAATGATCCCTTCAGACAGAGTGACGTCAGGAGCTGACTTGTGAACAAAGCGGCCTCCCAGAATACTTTGCAAACCTCATTCTGTATGTTGTAAATCTCTGCTTTGCTTTGAACATCATCAGTCTCTATGCTGTAAAGTTTACAGATTCAATACAAGATAACAGGAACAAATATCAAACAACCTCCTTCCTATAAATGAATATTTCTGCTAGAGGCCTGCAGAAGCCCACAGATGCAGGCTCTCCCTGTGACACATTCTGGGAGAAGTGGTTCCAGGAAACATGGGATATTTAGCCTGGAAATATCCAGGCTAAATATCCAGAACTCTTCACCATCTCAAAGATGGAGACTGAAGTTTGCCATCTTGGTCTCGTCCCTTTGTCCTTCATCTCAGGGGGGACCAACCTCCCAACCAGGAGGAGCATCCACTTTCCCCCAACCTGGATTAGACCTAAAGGCTGCTCTAATTTTTACACCAAAATGACTTTTTCTTTATCCTTTTTCAAAAAGAACAATGTAGCATTTAATAGATGGGATTCAGGTTCCTGATCTTTTCATTTCTAATTTATCAAACCTTTTTGTTTCTTTTTAGTGCAGCTTAAATACTTAAGCTAAACCAACATCTCAATCGAATGTTTCTTTAATCAGTTTAGAGAAAGGAAACCATGGGAACTTCTAACCTTTATTTCCAGCTGTGAGTTTTATGCATCATTAACAACCATCAGATAAAACCAGATTGAGATTATTCAGAGAAAATGAGCATCTCCACTGGAGGCAGCCAGCTGCCGTCCCGTTCCACATCTGGTCCGTCTAATAACTGAGGAGCTATCCCAGCTGTGGGATGTCTTCCTCACGAATCTTCCTTCTCTTGATACCTAAAACAGAAAAGTCAACCCCATTAGAAATTCCTCCCAAAGCTGCAGAAAAAGGGAGATGTTTGTTAGACCCACCTGCAGTGCATACAGGTGAAGAAGACCGTCTGCCCTTCATCTGCAGACCTCATCTGCCTGGTGTGGTAGATCATCCCTTCTTTATTGCAGCGAGCGCAGCGTCTGTCGATCTGGAGGAAGAGGCGGAGCTCGTTATCCCAGGAAGCGAGTCCAGCTGTGAGCAGCAACATCAAGCGGGTCTTACCACAGGTCCCTTCAGCTCCGAGCCGCCTTCCTCGTCCTCCAGAGCCGCCGCCGACTGCTCCACGGGGTTAAAGACCACAGCTGAACACACTTCCAGGCCAGAGAATTCTGGGTAATGAGAGAAAACCGGACGGTTACGTCATGGTGACGCAGAGATCCGATGGCGACCCGAGCAGCGGCGTGCTTCACTGAAGGGATTAAGGCGGGACTTCCCAGAAATCCTGGATTCATTTAAGCTCCACTTAGCTTCACTAAAGCAGGATCACATCCGTTACCATGGTGATTGATTCTGTTCATAGATTTATAGATACGGAATGAAGCAATTTGATCTCTTAAATATATATTTTTTTAAAGACATTTTGTTATTTAACCTTTTTTCATGTAAATTTGATGATTTAATGGGACATTAATCATTTAATTGTACATTTTTATAACTTATTGGTTTATTGTGGATTTTAATAATCTATTAGACAATTAATTAATTTAACATTTAGTCAGTTCATGGTAAGTTTTTCCATTTTCTCATATATTTCCAGCCTCCACATATAAAGAGGATTC